ATAAAAGGTATCATAGTGGCACAGTGCTTCATGTTCTGCTGATAACCAGAGGTTGAACTCACAAGAAGGTCCGTGTCACAAGATAAAGGTAAAGAATCCAATTGAAAAATGGGCACACTTCACCGAACAGAAGACATTCAGATGGCCAACAAGCACATGAAGAAATGTTCAAAATCCCTAGCTCTAAGAGAGATGCAAATCAAAACAACTATGAGATATAATCTCACTCCAGTCAGAATAACAAAATTTAACAGAACAGCAAGCAACAAATGCTGGCGAGGTTGTGGAGAAACTGGAACCCTTACTCACTGTTGGAGGAATGTAAAATGGTGCAACCACTGTGGAAAGGCAGTATGGCGTTTTCTCAAATAGTTGCAAATAGAGATGCCATTTGACCCAGCAATTCCACTACTGAGAATATACCCCAAAGAAACCATAACTGCCACCCAAGCAGATATAAACACTTAACGTTTCTTGCAGCTTTGTTCACAATAGCAAGGACTTGGAACCAACCTAAGTGCCCATCAACAAACGAATGGACAGAGAAGCTGTGGTATATTCACACAATGGAATACTATGATGTACTGAAAAACAAGTAACTCATGATATATTTTTCAAAATGGGTGACCCTGGAGGACATTATGCTGAGTGAAATATCTCAGTCACAAAAGAACAAATACTGCATGGTGCCACTGTTGTAAAACAGGACTGACATCGGGGTAGGGGGAGACTGAGAAAGATGGGATAAATAATGTACACTGCATTGAAACAGATGAGGGAGAAAACTGTTTAAAAGGGATATGTGATTAGGTATTTTTTTGTCCTGACAGGAGTCCAGAATGAGGGCTGCATAGTGGAGTGGACCTGGGGGAAGGGATTGTAAAACAATGAAAGAATTTGTCTTTTACTTTTCAAAGAAAAGAGTGTACTGGCGGGGGGTAAGGGTGGGCATGGAGAAAAGTGCAACAATGAATGAATGGAAATCCAAAGTCTCAGTAAATTTTCATTAAAATTAATAATAATTTTTTAAAAAGAAGGTTCGTGAAAGAAAAGACCTGGCCATCTATTTCTGAAAGATTCCAGCCCCCAAACCCAATGGGGCCGTTCTACTCTACGGCGTTTGGTTACCACGAGCTGGAAGCTTCATGAGACAAGACTGCTGAGCCTTCCTATCAAGAAGCTTCTGGATAAACTCATACCACCAAGCTTCTCATCCGCATTCAAGCACTTCCATAAAGATTACAGCCTGCAAAACCCAACCTGGGTAGTTCTACTCTCACACAGGGGTCATGAGAAGTCAAAAAGCGGCCTGTCAGCTCCTAACAACAGCAGCAGCTCCAGGCAGCAACAATGCTTAGTGAAGATACTGCTTCTTGAATCGTAGAGGCCTCCATTCTTTGCATGCTGTTGTTGTTAAGTACCACTGAGTTGAAGTCTCCAACTACCACAGTGGTGGTGTCTATTTCCTTTTTCAGTTTTGTTAATGTTTGTTTTGTATATTTTGCAGCTCTATCATTTGGTGCATAGATATTTATTATTGTTATGTTCTCTTGTTCTAATGACCCTTTAAGCATTATGTAGTGACTTTCTTTGGCCTTTGTGATGATTTTTGCATTGAAATCTATTTTATCAGAGATAATATTGCTATCCTGCTTTTTTCTGGTTGCCATTTGCTTGGTATATTTTTCCCCCACCCTTTTATTTTTAGTCTTTCTTATTCACTTTTTAGGTGTGTTTCTTGTAGACAGCCTATTGATGGGTTTTGGTTTTTTTATACAATCTGCTATTCTTTTTCTCTTCGGTGGTGCATTTCTATTCTTTTTTTTTAAAAAAATACAACTGACAGTGATGCTATGCTATGAGTGATCTGAACCCTGTCCTATCCTGTGCCATCCTCATCATTTCCGACACACTTGAGCCCATAGCTGCAGTCACTGTATCGATCTATCTCATTGAGGGTCTTCCTCTCTTTCGCTGACCCTCCACCTTTCCAAGCATCATGCCCCTTTCCAAGGAATAGCCTCTCTGAGCAGCACGCACAGAGTATGTGAGATGACACTTAGCCATCCTTGCCTCTGAGGAGTGCTCTGGTTTCAATTTCTCCAAGATGTATGTGTGTTCTTTTGGAAGTCTGCAAATTTATGTATTTATTTTTGGCATGAGAAGATGGCAAATCAATGACAATATTCAAATTGTTCTAAGTTCAAGCTCACTGCAGCAGGCCTGACCACCCTGAAGTGACCCAAACAATCACATCCAGGCCCCACCCTCACTGTGTGCTTGTCCTCAGCCTCCAAGCACTTCTGACCCTGAAAGCGATCTCTCTTCTGGTCAGTCTTGTTCTGACTGAATAGAGCAGCGATGTTTACAGACTGAAGTCGTATCACTCTCTCTCAAAGCTCCCGAGTCAGAATCTAGTCACAGCTGACCCTCGATTGAGTTTCCAAGGCTGTAAATCAAACAAGAGGAGGTTGCCCATCTTTCTCCCGAGGCCCCTCTGGGGGATTCGAACCAGCAGAGAGTGAGGCCTTTGGGTCAGCAGTACGACCCCCTATTGAGTGACGCCTTCAGAGCAAAGACATATCAGTAGGTCTGAACGCACCAACAAGATGGCCAGTTAAACACCTGTCAGAAAAGGGAAACTCAAGTATAGGACCCAGTGTTCCATTACATTAAAAGGAGCAACAGAAAAGCGGTAAGACTGCACCCTGTCTGGAGCAAAAAAAAATTGCAAAATGTAGGATAACAAGACAGTTTCATCAGGCTTCACAGTGCTAGCAAAAGAACCAGTTCTTTATCTAAAATTCAACTTTAACTACGAGTCTGATATTTTCATTTGCTAAATCTAACAAATGTGGACATCAGGGCATAGTAGACCTGACCTCTTAGGTGGTGCTGACTTCCCCAGTTAACCTCCAGAGGCCACCCCAGAGCAGCCCTGCCGCTGGCCCGTACCTCATGCTGTTCTCTGTGTGCACCAAACAAAGGCTCCAGCTCTGTGTGGTCCCAACGCCCAGCCAGCACCCTCCACAGCTGCAACCCCGTCTCACAGCCAGCACCCTCCACAGCTGGAACCCCATCTCACAGCCAGCACCCTCCACAGCTGGAACCCCATCTCACAGCTGGAACCCTCCCCAGCTGGAACCCCGTCTCACAGCCAGCACCCCTGGTAGCTCTAAGCAGAGGGTGACTTCTCAGCCAAAGCAAGAAGTACAAAGGTGTCTGTCTGCTTTAAGGAAAATACCTGTGGCCCCAGCGTGACACAAGAATGCCCAAAGCAAGATGCTCTATCCCCAACTCAAAAAAACAATCAAACTCATTGCTACCCAGTTGGAACTGACTCGTATCTGAGCATCTAGCATGTTTTAAAAAGGCTATAAATCACATAAGAGCAGAGTGCATACATTTCTCTTCCTATTGAGAAGCTGGTGAATTCAAATCACACAGAGGCACCCCCTCTGGGTTGGCTGGGAAATGCCCCCTGGACTCCACCACCAGCGCCCCCATGTGTGAGGATACCAAGCAAGGGCACTGAAAGGCCTGGAGGTGTTTGGAGGGAAGCCACTTCTAGGCAGCCTCACCCAGCACCCCCTGAGCCAACGCAGTCTAATGCCCGGAGTGACTGGCTGTCTTACTGCGAATGCTAACAGCTTTATAAATGGTCTTCACCTGGTTAGGGCAGATGGTCTGGGCAAGCCCCAGCACAGGTCCTGGCAGAAAACTCGCCGCACTTCGCAGCCTGGTTTGAGATGGGCTCTAGGCCAGATCAAGTTGCCCATGGATGTGTGGGCATTTCTCTTTATACAGCTCAGAAGCATCTAGAAGCAGCTGTTAGTCTGCTATGCTGGCACAAACAACACAATAATAGAAAGCTGCTTAATTTCCAATCTCTAGACTGTTTTTTCCCTCTCAGCCAGAAACCCACAGGCTAATAATTTCAGGCCTTTAGGAAACTGGGAACTATATGAAATTACTAATATATAAGTTGCAAAAGGTTAGAATATGGGCGATTACATATGGTCCCACCTAGAAATAGCACTACTGGGTACGTGATGTTATATACTAGACATCATAAAAGGTTCTTCTCATATACTCATCATAGATGAATTCTATTACCACCTTTCAAGGTAGGTAGGTATTACTGTGTCCTTTTCAGAGATGCAGAAATTGAAACAGAGGGGTCAAAGTGCCCACCCAAACAGAAACACACCTAGATCAGCCTGCCTCCCTTCCACCTTCCACATGACTTGAATAACATGGTTCTTCCATCACTCTAGCCCCCAAAGCCCATGTCCTTTGACTCTATCGGCCATTCTCGCAACCTCTGGTACTGGCAGGACACACCCCTTACCAGTGTCTGCCTGTGCAATGGTCACTCACTCTATGGCTAATCAAATCCTGATCTAAATTAACAGTAAAGTGTACTTAAGAAATAATCTCGAAAGGACACTCAAAAGCTTACTTAAATGAAGAGAAGAAAAGGGGGGAGGGGGAAGGACTCCTAAAATCAACAGGAAGTACCCAGAAGAGAAAACACTAAGCCAACCAGTTTTAAAATGCTTTAACTGTGACCATGTATGTAGTGGACCACTGAGAACAGCATCAGGTATAGCATGATCAAGCAGCACATCAACCCCAGAGATAAGAGCTTCCGAAAGCTTTTCTTTAAGACTCCAGACTCTCATAGGCAGATAAGATTTAAAACACCCCAAAACAACAGATTTAAAACTCCCCAAAACAACAAGTAAAGTCCAGAGACGGTCACTGGCTTCCCAGTCCACTTCAGAAGCAGGACCCACTCCCTCCGCAGTTGAAGCTATCTTAGCAAAAGAATGCATCTCTCAGATTCCAACTTTAAAGGGAGAAAAGAACATTTTCCTCATTATCAAATAAAATTTTAGAAGTCAGAGGGTAAGTAACATCCAGTAAAAGAAGTTTCCGCTTGTTCCAATAAACATCTGTGGCGATCAGACTTTGAGGACCGTGAAGCAAGGACTGACCTTGATATGGGCCAGGTAATGATGGCACGTCTCCTCCATGTGAACCAGCTGCAGCTTCTCTGTGACCTGGCCTGTGGTCTCTCCCAGCAACACGAAGTAGACCCTGGGAGTTTGGCCCTTTTCCTTTTTGGCCACATCCGCCGTCAGAACGTAATTCAGACCTGCCAATAAACAAGAGGTCAAAGTGTTAACAGAGACAGACGTGCAGAGACAAGGCTCTCACCTTAGAGGTGCCATCTCCCGTTCACAGGGCCAGATCCACATTTTATAGGATCCCCAGTCTTCCAGCATATAGTGGCCTGTAGGCCACATCACGACCTTCTCAAGGACAGGAGTAACAGCCAGGGGACTCAGAGCCCAGAGAGACCCAGATGTCACCTGACCTGCCTTTCCAGAGACACTCCAGTGTTTCACACTACAGGGCTCTTCCTGATCTGAAACGAAATCTCTTGGGTTACCAACTGAGCCACCAACAACTGTTGTTATTGTTGTTAGGTGCCGCTGAGTCTAGTATGACCCATAGCAACCCTGTGGACCCTGAACTCTGTCTATCCTGGTCATCTCTGACACACTTGAGCAAACTGCTGCAGTCACTGTGTCTATCCACCCACTCATGGGGGGTCTTCCTCTCTTTCACCTGTCCTCCATCTTTCCAAGCATGATGTCCCCCTCCAAGGAAAAGCTTCTCTTAGCAACGTGCCCAAAGTGTGCAAGATGAAACTTTGCCATCTTTGCTTCCAAGGAGCTCTCTGACTGCATCTTCTCCAAGACCTATCTGCTTGTTCTAGGGGCACTTTGGTGACCCATGCAGGTCAGCGTTCTAAAAAGCAGATAATACGGTTAACCCACTGGGGTAATCGGGGTGGGTGTGCTGGAGACACTGAGATTGGCACAGGACAGAGCAAGGTTTAGGGCTGTTGTACATAGGGTCACTATGAGTCGCAGGTGACTCGACAGCACATAACAACAACAACAACATCAATGTATTAAAACATTAATGTTGTTGTTGTTATATGCTATTGAGTTGCCTATGGTTCATAGCGACCCTATGTACAACAGCCCTAAACTCTGCTCTATCCTATGCCAATCTCACTCTCTTCAAGACACCCACCCTGATTACTCCAGTCACTGAATCAATCCACCTCATAGAGGGCCTTCCCCTCCTGCGCTGTCCCTCCACCCTCCCAAACATGACGTCCTTCTCTAAGGAACAGTCTCTCCTGACAACATGATCAAAGATGTCAGATGAAGCTTCAGAATCCTTGCCTCCAAGGAGTCACCCAGTTTAACCGTCTCCAGGATGAATCTGTTTGTTTTCTTGGCAGTCCATTGTACCCTCAATACTTTTCTCCAACACCACAGCTCAAAGGCATCAATTCTCCTTCTATCCTTCCTAGTCATTGTCCAACTCTCTGACACATAATAAGTGATACAAGTGATAGCAAAGACCATGACCTATACCAGATGCACCAACAACATGGTTAGCCCATAGAATACTGACAGAAGCTGCTGAAATGGTCACTGGATTGATTGGGTAACACGGACTCATGTACCCTATTGGGATGGAGGCTGGCCACACAGAGCAACCACCTGGAATAATTCTAATCATCTCATGGATGCTGAGCCACGCCCATGACCACGGGATCCACCGGGTCACGTACCACCCTCGATGTGCTGAGCATCAACAAGACAGGCACTGTTCTAGGCATGGGAGATACAGGACGGGCACCTCCGCTGGTGCAGATGTTCACTCATTAGCAACAGCACAGGCAGACACCTTCGTGAACTTGCACTTGTTCATGTACTTGGAATTTGTATGAAGGCTGAAGCTGAATTTATTCCCAAGCAGTCATGCACGGTGGTGAATCTGGAGTGTCTGTCACTTCAGCAAGCCCTTGGGAGTTCTGCACTCAGTTATTAACCTAAAGATTAGCCATTCAAACTCACTCAGTGGTCCTTCAGGAAAACAGCCTGGTACTCTCCTTCCATAAAGACTGCTGTTGTTGGGTATTGCTGAGTTGGAATTGACCCACTGATCCTCCAGCGGCTTTTCAAAGGCAATTAATCACACAAGAGGAGGTGGCCCATCTTTCCCCCATGGAACAGCTGGCTGATGCGAACAGCATGCCTTTGGAATTGCAGCGCAGCTTCTTACCATTAGGCCTCCAGAGCTCCCAAAAAGATTATAACCAACTCTTAGGTATTAATATTCTGTGACAAATGGGGTCTCCATGAACCAGAATCTATTCAACAGCAAGAGATTTGGGCATTTGGGTTATCATTTCAACAGTGACCCCTGAGTCCATTATCACGCTCATTTGTGGATGGAAAGGCTGGATGTTTGAGGTCGGCCAGAAGCACTTCAGAAGAATGGCTGGTAACGGAACGTTTAAAAAACTCGAAATCAGCCACTGAAAATTCCATTGAGTACAGATCTACTCCGATACACACGAGTCAACACCGCATCAGAATTAACCCAACAGCAGCTTGTTTACAATTTCCAGGGAAGCAGGACCCCAGCGGGGCTGCAGAGGGCCACTATTGGAACAGACACTCGTCTCCTTTAGCCGATGTGCAGTGTGCCGGCCAGCAGCACCTGCTGGGATGCAATCTGGGACAATATAGAACGAAGCTGGTCCACTGGATAAACCCAAAGGCTTAGCAAATAGGTAACAATGCATTTTAATAGTTACATGCACAGCTTTGATATCAACAGGCCTCTTTTCCTGCTTTGTCTCGGAACATGTTTCCAAGAACAAGGTATTTTCAAAGAGACAGGGCCTGGATACCCAGACACCCCAGGCCCAACCCTTTCCCTACATACCAGCCTCTTAGAAGCCTGCGCCCCCGTGTCACCCACCACACCTTAATATGTGAAACCTGGGCAGCAGGCATGGCCCTGGCTTTTAATAACATCAAAGGGGTCAACCTCTAGGGTAGATATGAATGAGGAGAGAGGAAAGCAATGTTCTGCCCAGGAGAGTTATGTGACACCTCTAATGGCTTTCCTGGGCCTGTGCCATCTGAGGATCCTGCCACGCTAAAGCAGGCCGCATCTTGGCCTACAAGGGCAAATGTGTCCTAACTTGTTTATTTCCACAAACAGCTGACTTCTAGAGGGAGGCTTAGTCACCAGGAGGATCTAAGACCTAGATAACATACCAACAACAAGAAGAGAGAAAGAGAGAGAGAGGGAAAAAGAACGAAATCATTCTCTAAAATTCAAACTCACTGCAGTCAAGTCAGTCCTGGGTCCTGGTGACCCTCCCCTGGACTTTCAAGGCTAAAAATCGCAGTGGGAACAACATTACCCCATGGAGAAGCTGGTGGATTAGAACTAGAGACTCTTTGGTTAGAAAGCAGCTCAGTACATAACTCATTGTACCACCAGGGCCCCATTCCTATATTTAAGCTCAAACCCACTACCACAAAGTCGATTTCAAGTCATAGCAACCCCCCATTGGGTTTCCAAAGCTGTAAATCTTAACAAGAGCAGACTGATTTAGACCTTTAGTCTGCAAAGGAGGCATATTTGAACTTCTGATCTTTTATTTTGTTGTTGTTGTTGCTGTTGCTGTTGTTGCGGTTATTATGTTCCATTAAGTTGACTGCAACTCACAGCGACCCTATGAACAACAGATCCAAATCCTGCTCCAGCCTGGGCCAGCCTCACACCCTCCTGTCCACTCGAGTCCAGTGTTTCAGTCACCATGTCAATCCATCTTGTTCAAGGGCTCCCGGCCACTGACCCTCCACCTTCCCAAGGATACTGTTCTTCCCCAAGAACTGGGCCTTCCTAACAACATGCACAAAATACGTGTGATGACGTTTTAACCTCCTTGCCTCCGAGGCCGTGCTTTCAGTTAGCAGTCCAACGTGTAATAGACAACCTATGGCATTCCTTCCATGTGCAGGGTCCTTCCTACACTTAACTAAAGAACGAAACCAAAAATAACGACTCATAACTGACTCTCTAGTGTATTTCAGAGACTATAAGTCACAAGGGAGGAGACTGCTTTTTTTCTCTTGGAGCAGCTGGTGAATTTGAACTGATAGTCACCACGTTGGCATTAATAGCGCAACTCGCTCTGTACATTACATCATCTGAGCCCTATATTTAAAGGGTGCAAATTCAGAATTAATAGAAGCTGCTATGGAAGGCCAACTATACTGTCACTCACAGGTGTGAGAGAGTGTGTGAGTGTGTGTGTGTAAAGCATTCATTTCATCTCTAGATCTGTTCACAGACATGAGGGGGTGTGTGTGTAAAGGACTCATTTCACTTCTAGATCTACTCACAGGCGTGAGGGAGTGTGTGTGTAAAGCACTAATTTCATTTCTAGATCTGTTCACAGGCGTGAGTGTGTTTGTGTGTGTGAAGCACTCATTTCATTTCTAGATCTGTTCACAGGCATGAGGGTGTGTGTGTGTGTAAAGCACTCTAGATCTGCCTCCTTAGAGCTGCTCCTTAACTGAAATTGTTTTGATCTTTTTAAGTCATCTCTGTGTCAGGAGAAAGCCGCGAGGGCCCTTAGGGACATGAAATGCTCCCTGATTCAGAGTCTCCAGGCGGTGAGGACACGCAGAAACTCAGCCTATTCCGAAGCAACTTGCACCCAGCTTGCAGCCAGAGCCGCGCATCCACAAAGCCCGGGCACGCGGCTTCTGCGAGAAGGGGCGGGGCTGGCGGGAGGCAGCCAATCCACTCGCGCGACTGCCGTCAGCCTGGGAGGGTGGGCGGGGCTTGGCTGCAGAGCTGCGAGTACATCCTCTACAAACCCACCTCGTTCCTGTTGCTGATGCGGGTCCCGGGCGGGCGGCCGCCGTAATGCGAGCCAGCCGGGCCCGCCCCGTGCCCGGGACGGTGCTGGTTCTGATTAGGGCCCGCTCCACACAGCACAGTTCACATCTTCAAGTCTGGCAGCTTGTGTCCATGCCATGTCGGATGATGTCATGTGCATGGAAAAGCTGATGGGCCCTGGAGCAGTGCTCGCAGCCGCCTCCTTCCCCTGCCCCCAGCTGCATCCCGAGGGCCCCCCACTGGCCTGCGCCAGGACGGGGCCAGCTGGCTCTCATCAGCCCGGGCTGCGGGCTCTCCAGTGAGTTTTGATTCCTTCCCATTCTCCCTCTGAAGAAGATCTCAGCTGTGAAATTCAGACTAATACGTTCTCCTTCCAGAGTTACTGAGCTTCCTTCAGAATTCCCCAGGAGAGGTGGGTGGGAGCTCAGAGCCACTTTATTTAGCTTTCCCGAGCCCCTCCTCCATCCCGGTTGAGGGGTTAACCACTAGAACTCTTGAGGTGTCCGTGCAGAGGGCTCCAGCTCACAGCAACTCCATATTCAACAAGAGAACGGCATCCACCCGGATCCTGGGCCTTCCTCAGAATCCCCTATGCGCCTGAGCCCACTCCAGTTCTGTGTCAATTCATCCTGTGAAGGGTCGCCCTCTATTTCCCTTGCCCCCCTCACTTTTTCAAGCATGATGTCCTCTGGGCACTGGTCCCTCCAGACAACATGCCCAAAGTATGTGAGACAAAGTCTCACCATCTTGGCCGCTAAGGAGCAAGACCAACTGGTTTGTTCTGGAAATCTATGGCATATTCAATATTCTTCTCCAGTACCTCAGTTCTTTGCAGACATGACAACCCAAAGACATCGATTCTTCAGTCTTTCCTTAGTCATGGTCCAACTTCCATATGGAAAAATGGAATATACCATGACTTAGGTCAGATGCACCTTGGTCTTTAAAATGGCATCCTTGCTCTCTAGCACTTGAAAGAAGTTCCTGGCAGATTTGCCTAAAGTCATACACAGTTTGAGTTCTTGACTTCTGCTTCCATGAGGGTTGATGGCAAATCCATGTAACATGAAGTCAGTGACAACTTCAGTCTTTTCTCCATCTATCTTGATGCTGCCTACTGACCAGCTGTCAATGTATTATTTTCTTTATGTGGAGGTGATGTACTGAGGTCTTAGAAAGTCTCTAGTAAGTTCTTCAGGTCCTCTCTATTTTCACTGAGCAAGGTTGTATCAGCTGCATATTGCAGGTTATTGATGAGTCTCCTTCCAATCCTGATGCTGTGGTCTTCATCATTTCGTCTCATGAGATTTACTTCATCTTCCCATCTCCATGCTTCTCCAGAGACCCTAAGCAGTGCAGAGAGCACCTCTGCCGGAACTTGGTCTTATGCAGAAATGCACCCCTAAAGTCAGGATGGCCCCTGAAGACACGTTCCCTGCTTTCCATCTTCATTTTGCTCTTTGGGTTGGATGACTCTGCTGTCATGTCACAGGGTTTGGCTTCAACTGCTGGATCAGAGACAGGGAAAGGGTTCAAGCTGATTCAGAGCTTCGCTTGGCTGCCCGAGAGCCAGGGCAACATGGAGAAACGAGCCAGGGGTCAAAACACAGAGCATATATGGCTCAGCGCTTCCCAGTTTTCATTTAGCATCTTGGTGAGACAGTAAGAGTTCCCGCTCGAACTGTCAGTTTAAAGTCTCCACTTCCTCAGTGTGCCAATCAAGCTGAGATTTCCATTTGGCCAGCAAGTTGGTGCAGGCTGGGTAAGGGGAGGAGTCCCAATGAGCAAACAAGCTTTCCAGCATTCCCTACACAGTTGGGGGACCTCAAGGATGAAGGTCAAGAAGGAAGTGATTAACAAGAACACGTGAGGCGGACAGGACTGGTTAGTGAAATGTGTTAGAAATCTGTTCCTGAGGGAGCCCCACTGTGAGAATTAGACGTTTGTGTTTACATCCCAGCACTCAGCACCACGCCTACCACACAAACGGGCTCAGTACTTAATTTCCAGAAAAGTGACTTAACATTTTAGTCTTGTCCACCGGAATATAAGCTCCACCAGGACAAGAACTGTGTCCTGTTCCCAGCACAGGGTCTGACAGCTATTAGTTGAATGAAGCAGCGTCAGTAACCTGGTGTAACTGATGCTCACTGTGTTAGTGGACGGAGCTGTGGTCTCCCAGCTCCACCCCACCCTCCTGTGGACGCTGCTTCGTGATGCTGGACTGGGCCTCTGTGAACCACATTTCTGCTTTGCCAATACCTCACTGTGAGGTTCTGCCAATTTGGAGCGCTTGAGGGAGGCCGTAAAACAGGAGGACGGAGAAAGCACCTTGTTCCTTCTGCTCTGCAGATCCTACTCTTATTAGCTCAACTCAGCCTGTTTCTCCTGGCAGTTGGCTCCAATAACCACTCACTATAGTCTCCAGTTCCCCTCCTAAATCCCCTCATTGCACCCCCCTCAGAGATATCAACATTTCCAAGGGGTTCAGAGCATTCTCAGAGCAATCCAGTTAACATACAAATGTTGATTCAACAGGTCTGGGACTGCAAGAGGACTGATGTTTCTAACAAGATCCCCGGTGATGTTGAACCAACAGATCCCAGACTAACACTGTGAGGAGCCAGGGACTCCTCTTGTATTAAAAATGTCTGAAAAGTTAGGGTGTCCAGACTCTTACCATGTTCTGTTTGTTTGTTTTCCTGGAAGTCTACTTTCTATTATTAAGTTACTCTTACAAGTGAAAACAAAGCACCTATTGATTGACACAACTGCTCAAAGTCATGTCCTACAGCTCACTTCTCGGCCACATGATCCTATCATGTTCCTGTCCTATTCAGGCTGAACTAGCAAGGCAACCTTCCCTTCGCAGAGAAACCTCCCTCTGGCCAATGGAATTCTAGTCCTTTCTAAAAGGAGCTCTGGTTGTCTAGTGGCTAAAGAGGTACACTTCTAACCCAAAGCAGGCAGCTGGAGTCCACCAGCTGCTCCAGAGAAAGGCCAGCTCCTTTCGTGTGATTTACCAGCCTCAGGAAACCCACTGGAGGGTCAGCTGTGAGTCGGTCCTGACCTGATGGCACTGTACAACAACTTCCCTCTTTAAACTTCATCCTTGGTCTCCAGCTCCACCTAAGACCCCGACCATACGGTTGACACTGCCAGCTCAAGAGGAATTTGCCATTTGCCTTCATTTCTTATTTCTGTGTGGACTATTTCACAAGAGCTGGAGGGAGAGCAGTGAAGTGTCAGCCTGGTCCACAGATATTTGGGGAAAGGATGCGTGGAGCCATGTGCTATTTGCCTAGAGCGGGAGGCTGTGTTAAATTAGGAATACACTTGTTAAGTCTTCAATCCGAAGGGAGAAGGCGAGAAGGGGAGGGACCTCAGAGATAACACACCACCCAGCCTAGCGGTCTGCTGTCTGCAAGACCAGCGACAGCACAGAGGAGGAACTTCAGGACCATCCTGCAGCCCCCAGGACCAGAGCTGGCAACACCGAGAGAGGAGAAACTCTGGCTAAAACGGGCATCCTGAGTTCAAACGTGGAGGCTCATTACCAATTTCTCCCGGGACGTGCTTGCCGTGGAAGCTGAAGCAGGTGGTGACATTCAGGCAGTTCACAGGCTGCTGTCCGTCGTGACACTGAGGCGCCGTGATGTTGATGGAGGCCGGGAGGAAGATGGACACGTCCACTGTGATGACAGGTCTTGCCCTGCCGGTTAAGAGAGGAAGGCGATTTAGGCATGCTGAAGGGAAACACTTGGAATCAAAAAAACTCTGTATCAACAGGATACACGTTAGGCCTCTGGGCCAACATTTAATTAAAGTGTGAAATAACCCGCAGAAGGAGGGCTGGGGTGCTCTGTAAATCCTTTTCCTGGTTTTTGAAGTAGCTTATTTCCTAGTAAATTAATGTGTGACTTCACAAGAATAAAGCCGAGTTAGCTGTTAATAAAACACATCTGGCTGAAGCCATAAATGAACCACCAGATGTGGGGTGACCATTTAAAATTTCACCAATTAAGTTCTTATTTCCATTTTACTAGGAAAGATGTGAATATGTGTAAGAGGAATTCCTTCAGGAGATGCTATGAGTCAAGAAATGGGTGCATATTCAGAGAAACACACCCATCAAAGAATTTCCCGTCATTAGAGCAGTATGGGCTGCAAAGATCTATTTCTAACCAATAGATCGTACATTTCCCTTCACTTCCTCCAAGAATTCACTGGGAATTTTTCTAAAATAACCTGATTAAGAGAAGGAAGCATGAACTTCCACTGAGTTGACTCTGGCCTTATGCTGACCACATGTGACGCAGAGCGAGAGTATGATCCAAAAGTTCAACCATGGCTGACTTTTCAAAAGGAGGTTGCCAGGCCTTTCCTCCATGGCACCTCTCGATAGACTCAAACAGTCAACCTTTTGGTTGGCAGCTGAGGACACTGACTGCACCACACAAGTTAGCCTCATGCTCCACAGGGCTCCTGCTGGTAAGAGCAAAGCCCGTCAAAGCCACAGACATCAACCACCCGGGGTCAGAAACACATGAAACCAATACAGAGACACACACGTACTTGTTGGCAGGGCACGTGCCCCAGTGCTTGACAGATGGGCAGAGGGAAGGGCAGAACTTTGCATGGGCCACCCTGAGCCAGCCAGCAAGAGCCTGAGTGAATCCCAACATCCTGCTCTCTATGCAAACATCCACTCTGTAAGTTTCCCCTCAGCTGGGGCTTAATCTCCTCCCTGCCCCACCTCTGGCCTCACAGAGAGACCCCTTGACCTCCAAGGACCTCTGGCCTTCACGCCACTGGGATGACCTAACAAGATTAAGGGGCATGAACTGCCTTGCACAAAGAGCTCCTGTGTGCCCCACTCCCACAGAGCGCCCAGGATGACAGGCCAGATGGGAATGATGACAGGCACCAGCCCCTGGAGAATGAGGCATCGAGGAAAGCAGTGGAGAAAAGAGGAAGTGAGGAGACGCAGCACTGATGTGGTGAGCAAAGTCATCACAGTCCCTGGCGCTGGGGGAAGTGGGGCATGGAACAGTCATGCAAAGTACAAGGGAACGTGGCACGCTCAGCGTGGGTCCAGCTGTATACCCTGCAGAAGCCAGTCCATAAGTCCATTGCCATCCGGGCGAGCCTGGATCATAGGACCCTGCCGGCCACAGAACCAGTCACAGCATTTGCAGCTCTGTGAATCTTTACGGAAGTACATGGTCTCATCTCTCTCCTGAAGAGATCTGAACTGCTGGATTTTAGGTTAGCCTTGTTGTTAGACTCTATGAACAAAAGACCTGATTGTTGTGTTGTTCTGTGCCATCGAGTCACCTGCGACTCATAGCGACCCTATGTACAACAGCCCTAAACTCTGCCTTATCCTGTGCCAATCTCACCATCTCCAGCACATCTATCCAGTCACTGAATCAATCCACTTCATAGAGGGTCTTCCCCTCCTGCGCTGTCCCTCCACCCTCCCAAGCGTGATGTCCTTCTCCAAGGACTGGTCTCTCCTCACAACATGTCCAAAGTATATGAGACGAAGCTTCAGAATCCTTGCCTCCAAGGAGCATTCTGGCTTCACCCTCTCCAGGACAAAAGACCTGAAGCCCCTCTAAAACCACTGACATTTATCAAAGTTCGTAGAGTTTCTGGAGGCATGGTGTTTAGAAGTGGATGCCACTCTCTAAATGGGCGAACACTGTGCCACAAGGGTGCTTTAGAAGCCAGACAGCAGTGCTCAAAAGAAACCTAAGAAATATCCTGGTTCTTTCTTTCCATTTTCTTCTGTGTTCACCCTTAGGAAATCCCAGAAATAACTTTGAAAGTGGATGGTGTACCCCTGGTCAATACAGCTGTGCAGATGCCAATGGAATTCACTGATATAAATATTAAATATTTTGTAGTTGGGGTTTTTTAAATTATATGTCGATACTGTATTTTAAAATACAATAGGGAATTTTCTTTTACAGGATGCCCTGTGACCACTCAGATCTGTGAACCAGCTCACGAGAATGCCTTCTGTAACAGTGACCTTGGGCAATTGGGCATCCTTCCTCTCCCCTGGCCCCGCCCTGTACTCACATCTCTGATCCCACATATCAAGAAAACACCAAAAACCAAGTCTACAGTGGTTGAGTGGGTTTTGACTCATGGCGACCCTCTGTCAGATTTCTAAGGCGGTAAATTTTCCCTGGAGGACACGGCTTATCTTTCTCCACAGGGGACTTAAATTAGTGCCCTTCTCCACCAAGGCTGCAGTCTAAAAATGAGTAGAAATTGTCTGTTTCCAGATCTCCCCCAGCAGCCTGCAAACCCTACAAGAGCTAGGAGTCTGATGAACTCAGACCTATGTTCCCAGGGGAGCCTTTGTGAGGTGGGCACATGGGTTTCATGCAGCACTGAAGGGTGAAGACTAACAGGGGACCCAAAATGGCACGAGCAGATGTGAGCACCACAGAGTGGGTCTCATCCCGCCCCGTGACAGCCCTAACCTGCAGCCCAGGACCTGCCGGGTCTTCACAGAAGAGCCCAGCCGATCACATCCCTCCCCACTGGGGAGGCTGCCTGGTTTCTCCTCTCACAGGAAGGCTCTGCAGAAGATGGGCGAGCAGGAAACGGAAGTGAAAGGACCATACACAATGACCTCAGTGAACGCTGTTAAAACAGAATCCTTTGAAATAGCTGACGGGGATCCTCACAGACACATCTCTCTCCAACACCCGTCAGTTCAGTTCCCTCAGACCTTTCTGTTTCAACTCCAAGTATTGTTTTTGGATCAGGGAAAGCTCAGAAATCTGTCATCAGCCTTTCTGGTCACTTCCTCTGACCTTCAATGACACCGCACCAGGAACCTGTCTGTCGACCATCACCCTAACACAACCTGTGCCCTCCTGAGCTAATCCCAGAGAGGCAGGCTTCCTGCATGCAGGGCTGGGCCTGGCCTACCCTCCTGAGCCTCTCTCAGCCCCACCTGCATGCCTGTCAGCTTCTGAGATCAAAGGAAAGGGCCATCCAAGGACAGAACCCCAAAGAGTCAAGAGCCAGTGCACAGTCGTCCCCTGACATGCAGGTGGGGTAGAGTTGATGTGGGGGCATGAGATGAGAGGCCATCCTCAGACCTCGCCACAAAGCACGGCAAAATGACAAGTCTCTTGGGATTGGTGCTCATCAAATATATGAACTACGAGAAAGCAGGTTCGACTTGATATACCATAAATCAACGTGCTGGTTTTATCAGGGCCCATTTTTAACTATGTGAAGCCAAAGCAAGAGATATCCAGACAAATCAGATGAGTTGTCCAACATGGCCAACAGAGGTGAAAATCTCAATATAAAGACACCAGTGAGGCTCCCAGCTTGACAAGTTTAACCTTGGAGGCAAAGTGTTTTACTTCAGAGCAAAACTCGCAACCCAGAGCGAAGGAGACAGAATGTTAACAACTAAACTCGTTACCGAGGAGTCAGAACTGGCCCACAGCTGACCCCTCAACGTGTTTCCAAGGCTACAAACTGCATGAGAGAACACTGTCCACCCTTCTCCCCTGGAGCCAATGGGGCGCTGAACCACCACAGAGATGTGACTTTCAGGTTAGCAAAGCAACTCCCTACAGCTGAGGCCACCAGAGCTCCTCTTTGGATAACATTTGTTGTTGTTGTTGTTGTTGTTGTTGTTGTTATGTGCCGTCGAGTTGTCTGCGACTCATAGCGACCCTGTGTATAACAGCCCTAAACTCTGTTCTGTCCTGTGTCAATCGCACCGTCTCCGATACACCCATCCCGATTATCCCAGTCACTGAATCAATCCACCTCATAGAGGGCCTTTCCCTCCTGCACTGTCCCTCCACCCTCCCAAGCATGATGTCCCTCTCCAAGGACCGGTCTTTCCTCACAACATGTCCAAAGTATGTTAGATGGAGCCTCAGAATCCTTGCCTCCAAGGAGCCACCCGGTTTAACCCTTTCAAGGATGAATCTGTTTGTTTTCTTGGCAGTCCATAGTACAGTAAATACTCTTCTCCAGCACCACAGTTCAAAGGCATCAAATCTCCTTCTATCCTCCTTGGTCACTGTCCAATCTCTGATATATAACAAGTGATAGCAAAGACCATGGCCTGTATCAGACACACTTTAGTCTCCAGAGAGACACCATTGCTCTTCAGTACTTTGGAGAGGTCCTTAACAGCAGACATTCCCATGGCAATGCACCTTTTAATTTCCTGGCTACTGGTGCCAAGAGTGTTGACTGTGGAGCCAAGCAAACTAAAGATGTGAACAATCTCAATCTCTTCACCATCCTGATGCTGCCAATTGGTCCAGTGGTGAGAATCTTTGTCTTCCTGACATTGAGCCTCAATCCATATTGGAGGTTGCAGTCCTTGACTCTCTGCAGCAAGTGCTTCAGGTCTTCCTCAGTTTCAGCAAGCAGGGTTGTGTCATCTGCATAACGCAGACTGCTGATAGATCGTCCACTAATCCTAACGCCACACTTCTCCTCATAGAGCCCAGCCTCCCGGATAATCTGTTCTGCATACAGGTTGAAAAGGTATGGAGATAGGACACATCCCTGGCGTACGCCCTTCCCAATTTTGAACCATGCAGTGTTCCCTTGCTCTGTTCTGACAACTGCCTCCTGGTCCAAATATACGTTTTGCATTAGAATGATCAAGTGTTCTGGGATTCCCATTCTTCTCAGAGTCAGCCACAGTTTGTTATGATCCATGCAGTCAAACGCCTTTGCATAGTCAATGAAACACAGATAGACATAGTCAATGTTTCATTGACTTGGGATAATAAGGAAAGTAAAAATCTGGCCCCATGGAGAAGAATTCAAGAAATGAGTTGGAGGAGGAAGAAGAATTGATGCCTTTGAATTGTGGTGCTGGAACAGAGAATTGGACCACCAGGAGAACAAAGAGATCTGTCTTGGAGAGGATGAAACCAAGTTTTTCCCTGGAGGCAAAGATTTTGAAGCTCTGTCTCACATTCTTCGAGCACATGGCCAGGAGGGGACAATCCTTGGAGAAGGACATCATGCTTGGAAGGGTGGAGGGACAGTGCAGGAGAGAAAGACCCCGCATGAGATGGGTTGATACAGTAACTGGGGCAATGAAGGTTGGTGTGTCAGAATCAGTGAGACTGGCTCAGGACAGGGCAGGCTTCAGAGCTGCCATGCATAGGGTCGGTATGAGCTGCAGGCAACTCAATGGTACATAACAATAAGTTTGAGGAACACTGGTTGTTAAGTAGGTAAAGAGCTTGTCTGCCATTCTAAAGGTGGGTGGTTCGAACCCACAAGCTGATACACAGGAGAAAGATGCAGCAGTTGGGTCCTGTAAAGGTTTACAGCCTTGAAAACCCTACGCGGTACCTGTGAGGTCCTGAGCCCTACAGGTCTGCTATGAGGAAGGGTCAACTGGATGTCGGGAGCGTTGGTTCAGTTTGTTTAATCTTAGTCATCACCTGGGGTGGGGGCCAGTGTGAGGGGACTACAACTGCAACCTTCAGATCCTCACGTGATGCTGTGTAAGAGATCCAGGACCAACAAGCAGAATTTCATAAGTTGCCATTGAGATAAAGCCAACTCTTGGCAACCTTGTGAACAGTGCACCACAGGACTTTAAAAGCCTCATGTTTTTACTGCATTGAAAGAGATGAGGGAAAGAACTGTTTAAAAGGGATATATTATTAGATATTATTGTTATGACAGGAGTTCAGAACAAAGGCAGCATAGTAGAGTGGACTTGGGGTGAAAGATTGAATAATAATGAAAGAATTATTATTATTTTATTATTATTACTACTACTATTATTATTTACTTTTCAAAAAGAAAAGCTAATTGGGAGGAGGGGTGGGCAGGGAGAAAAGTACAACAATGAATAAATAGAAATCCAAAGTCTCTGTAAACTTTCATTAAAATCAGTTTAAAATTTTTTAAAAATGCTGATTTTTTTTTTTAAAGTAAATTGCCAGGACTTTCTTTCGAGGTTCCCGTGGTAGACTCTAATCTCTAAGCTTCCAATTCGCGCTGAGTGTATTCACCAATGGCACTGCCCAGGGGCTCTAGGCAAAATCATAGGCAGGCAAACTGAGTCCAGTTAATGTAAATCACTAACAGTGAGTAAAAGCAGGTTTTGCTCTAAACATTTTATACACATGAACTCATTTCATCCTAAGAAGAGCCTCATGAACTGAGAGCTGTAATTGTGCTGTTTAACACAAGAGGCTCCAAGAACAGGTTCTGCGACCAGGAAGCTCAGCTCACAGCAGCACCGTTGTGGTCTGAACACCAGCCATCTGGCCCAGAGTTCACACTCTTACCTCAAAGCTTCTCTGCCTTGTCAACGACTTAATGCAGTATTTAGAATTCTCTGGAAGCTGAGTTGTTTGCCAGGCTGTGAAGCCTCAACTCACAGGGACATCTCATCAGAGAAGAGGCCGTGGGACCGTGAGGAAGGTACCCCAGGGAGGCACTGCCCAATGAGAAGAATCTGGGGTGTGGACACAGAGGCCTCCACTGGGATTCCAGCCGGCTCTTAAAGATCCTATTTTAGAACATTCTGGCATCGGGTAATCAACAAAACCTAAGCAAGGGCTCCACATCAAAGCGTAACTTGGCCTCTTCTGACTCATCCAGACAGAAATACGTGGAGATGGTTGGCTCACAGGTGATGATGGCAAACCCAGTGGCCTTTGTAAAAGAGATCCTAGACCACCTGAACTTCACCGAGCACTGGGCTCGAGCCCACGTCCACCAGCTCTGCTGCCACCATGAAACAGGCAGAAGCTGCATGTCTATGGGCTGATGAATAAACCCAGTGCTGAGGTTTCACAGGGGCAGTGATGGGAGGTGTGGATGGGTGCAGGGGTAGAGGAGAAGCGCAGGACGGGAGTTCCCAGCCCCCAGGGTGTTAAAGCACCCACAGAGGACACGCATTTTGTATGGCACGTGGTTGGAAGGGGACGTCCATGGACAACGATGTCAACCTCTAGAACTTGGAGCACCTCAAGCCCTGCCTGGCTGCCCACCTCAGATAGCCATTTGGGGCCCATCAGGTGTACACTTGAAATAAAGGACGGGGAAGGATACAGAGAAAATAAAAGGAGCGTTCCCTCTTACCCAGCACCTCCAGCCTGGACAAAGCAAGACCGACACAGAACTGACAATGACAATGAGACTGTCTCCCCTGCATCTCCACCCCCCACACTGAAGAAGGTGAGCCCAGAAACACAAAGAGAGCATCTTACCGTAGAAGGACCACGCTGTCGGACATGAAGGCTCCAATGGTTACATCTGTAAAAGAGAAGTTCACAGCAGTCAGACGCATCTGACGTCTGCCCTCCCCACCTCGCGGCAAGGTGCTCAACAGCACAGGGGTCAGGGGACCCTCCTATGTTCAGTTCTTCTGTGAACAATGAGCCACAGTGTCCCAAAAGACATCACCACACGTGACTTTTGTAAACGCAAAATCCACACTGGCTCTCACAGATCACATCCAAAATGGAAATCTCCCATTAATAATGTCTCTCTTGACTATATGTTGAAATGGGGGGTTCTGGTGGCATGCAGATAAGGAGATGCACTGGTAACCCGAAGGTTCACGGTTCAAATCCACCAGCTGCTCTGAGGGACAAAGATGGGCAATCTCCTCCTGTGGGGTTTACTCTGAAAAGCCACTGCAGGGTCAGCTATGGGTCTGTTCCACATGAACAGTGACACAACATGTTGTAATGATAACACATTATATCTATTGTGTCGTTGCCGTGTGCCATCAAGTCAGAGCCGACTCACAGCGGACCCTTCGGTGGGCTTTCAGGGGCTGCAAATCACGTAAGAGGAGACTGCCCATCTCATCCCACAGAGCAACTGATGGATTTGAACTATGTGACTCTGGGTTGGTGGCAGAAGGACTCCTTACCCATTAAACAAACAGAGCTCATTTATTTATATAAGGATAAATAAAACAGTATTAAAATTCATTTTACCAATAAAATAATTCCTTTTATCCATTTTCTCTTACATTATCTTCGTGATTATTAGAATATTTTTCGATTACCTCTGTGGATCACGTTATATTTCTACTGGACAGTGTTTGAGAGGGGTACCTGGAGTTAAGTGACTTGTGGGGAAAGCCCTCCACCCAGCAGACCATGTGTGTACTGACCACCCCTCTGTGTCACCCGAGTCACTGAGTCTCTCACAGCTGCCCTGTCTGTTAAGCGGGGGGGGGGGCCTCTGGTGGCCTAGTGGGAAGGACCTGCACCCTGCACTGCCAACCCAAAGGTGCAGACTGAACGCACCAGTTCCTCCAACTCGACAGCATATAACAACAATTATTCCCTAGTAACTTATTTGAAAATGAGCCCTGATAGCATAGTGTGTTATGTATTGGGCAGCTAACCCAAGAGTCAGCAGTTCAAATCCACCAACCACAGCATGGTCATCCCTAGGAGTTGGACTCAAGGACTTGCTGTTGTTCAGTGTTGTCAAGTCAACTACAACTAAGTCATCGCAAGCCTATGAACAACACAGTTGAACCGTAAGTCAGACAGCATTTGTGAAAACACTTAGTAAACTATAACAAACAAGGACACAAAGGGGAACTGGAAGCATGATTCTTATCCCTAAATATCTTTAATTCAGGAAATACTCACTACAGTTCAGCTACATAAATTTCAGGAAAGTTTGACCCTTCCAATGTCAAAACCCTTCACACTAGATATTCCGACCGCCTGTCTTTCTTGCCCATGGCCTAGGCTCCTAGCGTTACCTCCCAGATCACACATCTGAGCCCAAGAGTCTGAATGCAAAAAAAAATAAATAAAATAAAAAAAAAAAGAGTCTGAATGCACCGGCCACCAAAGCAGGAGCAGGGGATGAGGATACTACAAAGGGAAAGCAAAGCCATGAATTCCAGTGCAGCCAAAGCCTCTGCCTTCAGGTGTGCTGGGTAACTAAATGATATATATTTTTTAAATAATCATTAAAAGTGGCTTGATATTTGAAAATTTTTTTAAATTCTGATGAATCTGTAAACCTTTTTATTTATTTTTTTTTTATTTTTGTGTGCGTGTACCATCAAATCAGATCTGACTGGTACAGGAGGAGATTGTCCCTCCTTCCCCGGCAGAGCACCTGGTGGATTCGAACCGTGCACCTCTGGGATTGTAGTTCCAGCTCCCTGCCACTAGGCCACCAGAGTTCCCCCAATCTGTAAACCTTTTAAGAAAAATGCTACATAAGATATCCATAAACCTATGGAAATATGAGCAGTTTGCACAGCTTGCAAATTTACAGAGAAGGAGCTGAAGCCCTGGGAAGCCTAGGCCCACACCCATCTTGACGGGGTCTCTCACCAGCCCCTTTCCTCTCCATTTCCTTGTCTACAAAGGCAGGAGAATTCTCCCATTCCTACCTTCCTCCTGGGCTTACTCTAAGACATACATTACAGATGGAAGCAATTTGCACATATTAAAGTGCTAATCCAATATAGGGTATTCTTTAGGGATGGTCAGAAAAGGCCTAGAATGAGGAGAACAGCCTTTCTAAACTTGAAAGGACCCACAGGGTCTATCTTGAGACAAATACCCAGAGCTGACGCTTTCCATCCCCACCCCTGCTCCCCACCCTCCGTGTAAGTCACCAGGCGTATGCAAAGCTCTGTCAGAAATCACAGACGCGGTGTGTCTTCACGCCAGACTGCACTCATGTTCCCGAGACCTGTACACGACTCTTAAAGCCAACAGAAAAGTCTTCTCATAGGCAAGCTGTCCTATATTTTCAGGCAAATTAGTTCTCTGAATTCTATAATGGTTGTGCATTTTCTAAATCTACGAACACCTATTCTACTGCCTGGGCAATTTTACTTGGACCAGTATCACCTGGGATTACAGTTTAAAATTTTACGTTTTTATCCAATTAACTCCAGTTACTTAACTCACTGCTGTCTGGTTGGAACCAAGTCATAGCTGGCCCTCCAGCTGGTTTTTAGAGGCTGTAAACGGCGAGGCAGGAGACTGCCGATCTTTCTCCTTAAGAGCAGCTGGTGGGTTCAAACCATCTGCTTTTGGATTGGCAGCTCAACTCCTTACCCACTAGGCCACCAGAGCTCCCTTTCCCCAACTCTGACAAGGCATGAGTTAAGCCTGAAGACAAGCCAACCAGCTTTGAATGGTAAAAGGCACTTTAAAAAAAAAAGGCACTTTCTCTGTTCATCTGCTGGTCAGTTTGTCCAACAGTAAAAGGCTGCGATTTTCTTCTTGCTCCAAAACTTTCTTTTAGTCATTTTTCTGGGCATGTGGTAGGGAGAGTGTTGCTAAGCTCCTTTCCGCTCTCATTCCAGTAGGAGTACAAAGTCTCTACAAATGGTTCAATGTCAAGCAACACATATCCCAAATTATCCTGCATTTTCATCGTAGGCAGTGCTTTTATAAGAACCACTGCCACACAAGAAACTCATGCAATATTATTCAAAATGGGCGACCCTGGAGAACATCATGCTGAGTGAGGTATCTCAGTCACAAAGGGACAAATGCTATATGGGGCCAATGTTGTAGAATGAGGCTGACATCGGG